ACACACGACACACACACAACCTATGTACATACATACACATACCACCCCCCCCCCCCCACCCCCACACACACACAAATATCATATCTGAATACCTGTAGAGCGCTTACATTGATATTCCAGCCCAACGTGCATCGTTGTTGAAAGCGCCCGTCTTCATCCTTTGGTGTTGTAGCAGGGCGTTGGTGCTGAGAGTGGGGACAGTGATTGGAGCATCGGGAGTTTAGCCAAACACTCGAAGCATTTGAAGAAAGGTGTTCAAAAGTTGCTGAGACACAAAAAGCCAAATATTGTGAGGATACAGCCCATGGATTGCAAGCTTGTGCGGTTTGTAGTGTTTGTATGGCATGGCTGACAAACAATCTAAATAGCATGGTCAATAACGGATCTGGTAGTAAACGCACACAGATTTAGTATACTATGTATATGCTATGGACAATTAATGAACACAGCATGGTCAATAACGTATCAGGTAGTAAACATACGCAGATTTAGTATACCATGTATATGCTATGGACAATTAATGAACACAGCACGGTCAATAACGTATCAAGAGGTAAACGTACACAGATTTAGTATACTATGTATATACTATGGACAATTAATGAGCACAGCATGGTCAATAACATATCAAGAGGTAAACGTACACAGATTTAGTATACTATGTATATTCTATGGACAATTAATGAGCACAGCATGGTCAATAACGTATCAAGCGGTAAACATACAACTATGTATATGTTATGGACAATTAATGAGCACAGCATGGTCAATAACGTATCAGGTAGTAAACGTACACAGATTTTCTATACTATGTATTTGCTATGGACAATTAATGAGCACAGCATGGTCAATAACGCATCAGGTAGTAAACGTATACAGATTTAGTATACTATGTATATGCTATGGACAATTAAGGAGCACAGCATGGGCCAATAGCGTATTAAGTAGTAAACGTAAACATTAACTATATTATAACTATACCATGGACAATGGGTCACTTAGTACCTACGCAATGTAAGTCAACCGCTCAGGACAGCGTCTTCTCTTAAGATCCACGTGTGTTTATATGTTTATACTCCGATACTCTTTCTACTCAATCACCAACAGCGAATCGTGGAAGAACGCGTTAAAGTCCCAAAACAAAGCGGACAAATTCCCTTCGCGAGCGTTTGCGGACTCCTTCTATCACTATCTGTTTATCACCGATCCTTCTGTGAAGGTCCTCTTCGCTGGAGGGCTGGTATGTAGACAACTATATTTAGGTGTAGATGTATGTGTGTATGTATGTATGTGTAGATGTATGTACTTATATATGTATGTGTAGATGGATGTATGTATGTATGTATGTGTAGGTATATGTATGCATTTAGGTGTAGATGTATATATATGTATATATAT